TCAGCCAGTGAGCAGGAACCGGTCTGTATGTGGGATCCGAACCCTCGGCGGGAGCGCCACCGCGCTCCCAAGCGGTGCACTGTAGCAGTGCGCCACCGGGCCGGCCCCCCTACCTGTTCTCTTAATAGTGAATTTTGACTGCAAGGACTTTCTCCTCGTTTTTTCTCGCTTACTTTCTATCAGACACTTTCTCAGTGGGAGGGGTGCCATTATTCATGTTCCTAAGATGTATTCTAACATTTTCCTCATTAAAACTGTTTCCAGCACATTGTTGTCCATGTTTAGTGATAGTTTTAACATGATGCAGTAGAGTTACCACTATGTAAGAAAAGTTTTATTCCTAGCACTTCTTTAAAAGGTAAGGTGGAATACTGTATGTTCTAGAAGAGAGAAAGTTGACTGCTGCGTTCCCTGCCCCCAGTGTCATGACCTGAATGCCTCTGCCCTCAGGTGACTGGTGAGAAAGCATGCCGGGTCACCCCCTCTGAGCAGAGGGACATGCCACCAGGGAACTGGCAAATGGCCACCTGTCGAATTCTTCACATTACTGTCCTTACTTGGGACTTCCTCACCTTGCTTAAAGAGCATGCTACTCTCTGGGAGTGGAAATTCCTTTTTTTCTTGGAAAAGCTTTGAATTTGAAAGCTATAACATGGTTCTCTTTGGCACACCATGAAATTATCAGTCTAGGTGTGGAAGGTAAAGCCGTTATGCACATAAGATTGGCTTTTCCATGGAACACACAATACCTTCATTGTGTCATGTGGGAACGATGGAATAAACCATAGATTCCAAATCAAATTAGAAACAAGAAAGAAAGAAAACAGAATTTCAATTCTCATTTATAGCACTGGTTACATATTCATCAGTACTGAATGGTGAAAGGGCAAATGAAGAATTTTATGACACAAGTTTAGTTTAAAACCTTAAGTATAAATCAATGTGATTTGCAAAACTGTCTTAGCAGGGGTCAATATGTGGCCAATACCTGACAGTTGCCTCTTCCTGAATGTGAAATTTCTGTTTAGTGATATTGGGTACAGAACAAGATCTGGCCATGCTTGGCCAGGAGCCTTGTGAGGGTGCATCAGTCACAGGCGTGAGAGGCAGGGTCCTTGAGCTGCTTGTCACGGCCCACCCAGAGCTGGCATCTCCATTATCCTGTTTTGAGGTGGGATTTGGTTCTGGCTGAAGTGAGTGGCCTCTTTTTTCATTTGGTAACACGATCCATTTCTCTGGCTGTTTGCCCAGATGGTCATCTGGCTACTTCCAAGGCCCACAGCAGTCTCATCCCCACCAACCATCATTCTAGAGCCTTCCAGTCCCCTCTCTACTAACAATTATGAATTTAGATAGATTTCTGCCAGAAAGTAATTGATTTTATTTTTCTTAAATGGGATCAAACTCAACTCTTTGAAACTCTATTTCTTTGAATAGCACGAAATCAAGTGCCTTCAGTGTCAATGGGAATTTAGAAAATTTTGTCACTAAACAATAAGCATTTGAGCACGAGCATAGACGTTATCACCTCTTGGGAGGCCAGTGATGGGCCCGGCTCTGTTTGTGCAGGTATCTCAGCTACGGCACGAGCTGTCCATGAAAGATGAGCTGCTTCAGTTCTACACCAGTGCTGCAGAGGAGAGCGAGCCCGAGTCCGTGTGCTCAACCCCGTAAGTCCCCAGGGGGGCTGTGCTTCTAGTGGCCAGGGCACAGGGTGGCTGCTGTTGATGTCCTTGGAGTCACTTCGGCAGGATCACCTTCAAGTCAGCCTTCTACAGACCAAGCATCTCCGAGTGCCTCAAACAGATTAATTTTACTATTTTAATGGGACATAGAATGATGGGTTTTGTTTTCTTCCTATTGGGTCTTGTCGCTTATTTGTCAGTTTAGGTTGATTTGCCCTGGCATGTTAACAGGTAACAGGGTGGGCTCTGCTATTGGAGGAAATACAGGGTTCTGGATCCAGAGGAGCTGTGGTGGGTCCTTGGGACAGAAGGCGTGGAGTCTCTGAGAGTCAGCAGAGCCTCATGTTGGGAGCATGAACTCTAGAGCCTGCTGGCCTGGGTTCAGATCTTGGCTCCGCGACTTGCCGTGTTCTTGGCCAATTTACTTAACCTGTCTGTACTTGTTTCCTCATTTGTAAAATGGAAATAACAGTAGTACTTAAGTCATAGAGTTATGAGCATTAATTGAGTTAATACATGCAGAGTACTTAAAACAGTTCTCGGCATACAGAAGTGCATTGTAAGGGTATTAAAAAAAAACCCAGGCATCCCAGAGTTGTTTAGGCTTTAAATACTGTTGATTCCCCCCAATTCTGGGGTGATGTGGCAACTGCAGATGTGGACAGAGGTTTGTTGGAATGTGGGTCTGAAGTGGGGTGAGCCTGTGCATAGGAGGTACTGTTTTCTGGGGGTGGGGAGCAGTCTGATGGGTCATTGTCACATCTGCCAGTCTCCTGAACTTTCTTTCAAACAGCCCTTCTTTGTGTCTCCACATGTTTTGCCAGGTGGTGGGGAGGAAATGTGTCTCTCTGGATTGTGAGTGTCCTTTCTCGCCCAGGTTAAAGAGGAATGAGTCATCCTCCTCAGTCCAGAATTATTTTCATTTGGATTCTCTTCAGAAGAAGCTGAAGGACCTTGAAGAGGAGAATGTTGTACTTCGATCCGAGGTGAGGTGGACTCCCTGCTCTTGCCCCTGCTGGAAGGGTGGTGGCCCCGTTTGCCTTATTTGGTGACAATAGCCATGGTTACGGTGCCACAGCCACATGATAATAGCCATGGTTACAGTGCTGTTCTCAAAGGTGATAGTCTGTGGAAGAACCACCTGAACCTCAGCTTGTAGCTATACCAAGTGCTTAGCAGGTGCCTCATTCGTGTGCTGGGCACTGCCTTCTTGCACAGCACACACCTTCCAGGCTGGGGCAGATGGGCCTGGTGAATTATGCAGTGTGTGTGGGCTGGAAAGAGTTGCAAACCCTCCTCTGCTGTTAGGTCAAAAGCTCCGGCAGTGAGGTCTTCCCGTGGTATTCTCCAGCCCTGAACATAGCACCCAGGAGAAATGACTTGGAGGCTGGCGTTAAGCCTTGTTTTCATGTTACTGCAGATTAGATATGCTCTAATGAAACAGTACACAAGAACTTGGAGACATATTTCTTAAACAATTAACTGAAGGCTGAGCTGTGGCAACTTGGGAGCTCATGCTTTTGAGTGTTTCCTATTGGCTAGGCACTGTGCCAGGCACTTTGCCTACATTATTTTTCTTTAGTCTTCACAGCAAAGCTGACAGCTGGTTACTTTCTCATTTACAGTGAGAAAACCAGGCCCCTGACTGCTAGGTGTTTTGATATTGCAGGTCAGTGGGTTAGTAAATGACAAAGCCAGGATTTGCAAGTCTCTGTGACTCAAGCCAGCCCTTTTCCCCTCCACTCACTGCCCCTGTCTAGAAACACTGATACACGTGCAAATTTAGTACTATTTGTCTGCCTTAGCTAGTAGCGAGTTTATGCTCTTTAGCCAGAGGGATGATAAAGGCCTGGCTTATGAGGCCATTGTTTGTCAGATTTGGGCTGTGTGCCCACCTAGGTTGGCCCTGGGCTCCCTGAAGCCTCTCTGACAGAGCAGGCTGCCCGTCACCTTGAACTTGCCCAAACATTGGAAAGATCCGCGAGTCTGGGCTTAACAAGATGCTCTTCTGCATGTCCTATTCTCTTAGACCTCACCCCTTCCAGCCCCTCGTTTACTGATGGGAAACATAAACCTGGAGCGACCAAGAAGGTTGCCCAAGTTTCCTCTGCCAGCCAGTGGCTGAGCCAAGACTACAGCCCAGTGCTCCCCATCCTGAGTCTGGTGCCGCCCCTCCCAGCATCTGCCCCAGGTAAATGCTCCAGTCCCGGGCACCCTGTGGTTAGGCCCTCTGTCAGAATCTTCACCTAAAGCTAGCTAAGGGAATCTGATCCAGCTACAGATTCCCACTACCCTGTCTCCATTCTCAGAAGTGTAGTGTCTCTCTGGGGCCAGGACCCGAGGGCTCAGAGACCCCTTCTGTGTGTCTGCATTTTCTTGGGCCTTCACATCTCTCTCTTCCCACCTTTTCAGCTAGGAGCAAGCTGCCTAGCGTCCTTGGATAGCTCTTGGGTCCCTGAATTTTAATGCTTTCATATTGGACCTTGTTCTTGGGTTTACACACAGGTTGAACTCAAACTCAGAACCTCATAGTTCAGTGCCTGGCACATAGCAGGTGCATGGTAAATGTTAGCTTTTCTTGTGTGGTTATCCTTAGAATGCCTGCTATAGGCAGGGCAGTGTCCTGGGCACTGTGAAGGTCACAAAGGCATCCATATCTGTGAGCCAAGCTGGGATAGACACACATGAATATCTAGACAGACTGGTGTGTGCAGGGTTTGAACAGAGCAGGGTGCATAGCTCTTGTGCTCATTGCCTTGTGTGGTGCCCAATAGTGACACACATTTTTTCAGCCTTGAGAATGTGTATCCTTCAACTAAGCAGCTGGTGTGTGCAGGGTTTGAACAGAGCAGGGTGCATAGCTCTTGTGCTCATTGCCTTGTGTGATGCCCAATAGTGACACACATTTTTTCAGCCTTGAGAATGTGTATCCTTCAACTAAGCAGAGAGAGTTAAGATTCCATATTTGAGGGTGTGATTGGTGACAGTGAGGAGATGCTGAGGGTGGCTTCCCAGACACAGGTTAGCCCTAGTGTCATACCTCAGCACTTACCTGTCCCACCAGGCCAGGTGTGAATGCTGGACCTCTGACCTGAGTCTTGTCCGCAGGCCTGCCAGCTGAAGACAGAGACCATCACCTACGAAGAGAAGGAGCAGCAGCTGGTCAACGACTGCGTGAAGGAGCTGAGTATGTCCCTGGCCCTCCCTCCCCATCCCACTCCCTCGCTTTACCTTTTTGCATCTTTCATCATTATGACCAGACAGATTTGCTTCACCCTTGATAAAGTGCAGTATCCTGCCAGCTTGTGGCTCAGTAGCATTTCTTAAAACTGGAAGCCTCCCCTGACACTGTGTGTCCCCTTCCTCCCCATGTATGAATTGGGTGCTGGGTTGTTAGCCATACATTATCTCAATTTCTTGCTGAGATATTTAATTTTAATTTTGGCTTTCTACTGGAATATTGGAATTATTTAATGGCTAAATTAGGCCCAGCTACAGAAACCTGTGTTGAAGATGTGGAAAAAGTGCTTACTAGTAATTTGATTTCTGAAAGTTGAGGCCATATTTCTTAGCTTTGCAAATAAGTTCTTTCCCCCACCCTCTCTATTATAAGTTTACAAGTTAAGATTAAGACAAAAGGTCAAACAGATTATTTTGTGTTTCTGCAAAATACTAAGTAAATGAAACACACCCTATGTTCAAATCTAGTAAAATGAGTTATGGCTTTGACTATTGGTTGAAAACTCCAAGGGAACTGCACTGTGCACCAGTAATAGTTCCTTTCTAAAACAGGGTGCAGCAGGGGTTCCTGTTAGTGATGAGATTTGTTCATGCGTGGAACATAGAGATTCAGCCAGTCACACTCATGTTTGGTGTGGCACCTCCTGGCCAACTCTTGGAGCCTGCCTAATTTGCCCTGGGGAGACAGCCTTGGTTGTGGTTGGACGCCTGTACTGAGTCTGGGAGCGACAGCCAGAGGGACAGTTTCCTTCTCATGACTGACTGAGTCGTGAAGAAGCTGCTTTGCTTTGCCATGTAGGAAACTGGTCACTGAGTTCCTTCTTCATACACGCTCCAACTCCTCCCCCTGTCTTGTAATAAAGGTGGTTCTTCTTGTGCAAACCACAGAAAAACCATTCTCTCTGGGTCTGCATGTGTCCTTTTCTGACTTACTCCTGTGACTGTCGTTTCTTTGTCAAAGGGGATGCCAATGTCCAGATTGCTAGTATCTCAGAGGAATTGGCCAAGAAGACTGAAGATGCTGCCCGCCAGCAGGAAGAGATCACACACCTGTTATCGCAGATAGTTGATTTGCAGAAAAAGGCAAAAGCTGTAAGACTTTTTGTTTCTTGGGCTGACACAACAAGGCCTTGCTCAGATCAAAAAGGGCATTTACTACAGAAGACTGTGCCCTTTAGTTTCATATCTTAGGCGTTTGTGCTGCCCCTTTGGAGAAAAAGCTTAGTGGATCCAATAGTATAAAACTGGATGCCCTGAATTGGCAAGATGTGTTATTTGTGACCTCTTATCTCCTCAAGATAGTCTTTAATTAATAGAATTTATTAAAAAGGTGCTGTAGGTATGTAGTTTTGGAATTTAACTTACGTATCAGCTAGTCCGGTATCCGTTTTTACGTGGTGCACCTGGCACGTTCTGCAGCAGAACAAACAATATCCCTTTTAGATTTAGGATGAAGCAGCAAAAAACAGTTTCCCAAATGTGTCTAAAGATCAGCTGATGCTTTGGAGGTGAAGGGCGGGGTGAGTGGACAATGAACATGGATATAGGAAAGACTTTGCCTTCAAAATTGTATAAAAGACAGAATTTTACTCCAGTATAAGATGAAGATCTCATTGTAGAGATGTGATGAGATCACAGTGGATCAAAGGGGTGAGTGGACAATGAACATGGATATAGGAAAGACTTTGCCTTCAAAATTGTATAAAAGAAAGAATTTTACTCCAGTATAAGATGAAGATCTCATTGTAGAGATGTGATGAGATCACAGTGGATCAAATAGCAAGGAGGAAGCAGTCAAACTTATCTAGGTGTTGTACACGAGATGATTGATCTTTGCCACGTTTTAGTGCACAGTGGAAAATGAAGAGCTCGTCCAGCACCTGGGGGCTGCTAAGGATGCCCAGCGGCAGCTCACGGCCGAGGTGAGCATCTCTACCTCATTTCTTCAGGCCTCTGGGTCCAGTGGAACCTCCATTGCCAGGCTTTGGTCATGTCCACCATAACAAACAATTTTATATTGAACTTAATTTTACTCATAAGGTAATTCTCAGTTGTGCACAGGCTCCCAATAAACACTCAAATAGTAAAACAGCGCAACACAAAGCACACCATAGAAAGGAGTCTTGTGCAGAGATGCAGCCTGAAACCAGGATGTGATGATCTTTTGTTTAAAGTTGGTTTTATCTCAGTGGCCCCTTGTTAGTATCTTAGGAGATTACTGAGTCTGTAACTTGCCCCAAGTGAAAGGAAATGCAAGCCCCAGGACCCTTTTGGCCACACGACCACAGTGCAGCCAGTTCCACGAGATGCTGGGGGCTGAGTTAGATTACTTGTACCTTTCTGGCTCTCAGGTGGGCGGGCTAGTGTGTGTGCCCTGGTTGCTCACGAGATCCTGACCCTCTGTATCTTTCCCGGTCACCTGCAGCTGCGGGAGCTGGAGGACAAGTATGCAGAGTGCATGGAGATGCTTCATGAGGCACAGGAGGAGCTGAAGAACCTCCGGAACAAAACCATGCCCAACACCACGTCCCGGCGCTACCACTCGCTGGGCCTGTTTCCCATGGTGAGCTGGTTCTTTCTTCCCAACACCTTTTTCCTGCCCAGAGGGCTCCTCGTGGTGGGAAGGCGGCATCTGACATTGCGACCCTGGAGCTGTCTTTACAGTCAGCTTCTCATTTTGCAGCTCGGATCAGGATCTGAGTGAAGAAGGGCACACGAGCCCAGGTGGTGGCTTCTGAACTACATAAGACAAAGTGGTTCTTTATTTTCCATCACTCTAAGTCTGTTGTCTCTTCTCTTGTCGTTAAAAGATACATTTAGTGGGAACTTGATTTAGTAAGAACCTCAGATATTTGGAAAACGTTATTTATAACTGATTTTTTTCTGGCCTTATTAGAGTGAGCAGGTGCTGTTTTGGTTTCACAAGTGCGTTCCAGAAATCTTGAAGTGCACATACAGTTCTGTTGATTCTTTGTATGCTTACTAATCATTCTCTTGGTGGCTTTCAGTGTCTATGATCTGAAAAACAATTTTCTCTCTGTGCTTGGGCTGGTAATTTTATTTTAGTTTTTCATTCTGTTTCTCTGTAGTCTTATTTCTTTAGCCCTAGCCTTTGTTTCATGTTTGGACTTTAGGGAAACAGGGTTGAGAAGAGGATTTTCCAGGTGGTTAATCTCCCTGTAGGAGTTGGTCAGCACAGGGCTGACCCCCCTGGTCATTTCCCTGTAACATTTGGTGTCAGGAAAATGAGCATACTCATTTTAAAGCGTATTGAAGGTGGAGGCCATGTCTTATTTGTAATTTTCTTCCCTTCCTGTCTTCAATACTCTATACCTAGATAGCACTTGGTATGTTGTAGGATTGCAGACAATAGATATTATATTTGGATGGTTGGATAGATAGATGAATGATGGATGGACAGCCCGAAAAACAAACTACCAAGAACCTTTTAATATTCAGGCTCTATTACTGTGGTTTGATGAAACACCCAATTCTCTCCGAGGAGAGAAGAGCTCTTGAGAGGAACTCCCCTAAATGAGATAGGAGGGGATGGCTGTTTGCAAAACCCTTTCGAATTTGCCCTTCCCTGGAGCTCTTTCTTTTCAGCAGATACTGCTCCCCACCCACATTCTTTCTTGTCTAGCCCACTTCTCCTAAATCATGATCTTCTTTTCTTCTTTGCTTTCACATATCAAAGTCAGGCTAGAACTTCCCCCCTCTCTCCCTCTCAAGAAACTTGATTGAAATCTAAGGGAAACCAAAATAAAAGACACGTAACATAAATTGTCAGCTTTCCAAGGCCAGATGGATGACCATGATTCCAGGAATCCTGGTAAAAGCAGCAGAAAACACTCTGTCCCCCAGGTTCCCTGATCCAGCGTTAACTGCACTCGGCTCATAGACTGGTTGGCAGCTTTGCAGGCTCTTTCCTGGCTTCTCATATTGGTGCGGCAAGCTCCTGGGGCTGTCTTGTTTCCTGGGCACCTGGGATTCATGACACTGCCTTCCCCGATCTCAAGGACAAACCTGTCTTTGAAAATGAAACCATTACATGAGAAAAGTTGAACTGAAAGCCTGCATCTCAGTTTGTTCTGGAGGGGTTCTCAGCTTTCACATTTGCTGAGAGAAGGCTTTTGTTTGCCTTTTTCTGTAGCTGTTGGCAAAGCCTTGTTTTTGAACATGGCTATTTTTAAAGTGCATTAAGCATTAAAGGTATTTCAAGCAGTCCTGTATTTATGGAGCAGAACGCCCAGGTATGCCTCTTTTGCTCTCTGCCATTCTAATTGCTGAATAAAACAGTGAGTGGCAGTTTTTGCTCAACTGTTTTCCCAGTCTCTTGCCTTACGGCAAGAGTTCATCTGGGATCCACAGACAGAATTCAGGGGGGCTTGAGCACTTTGAGGGAGAATTACGTCTTTTATTTTCATTAGTCCCTAACTGTATTCAGTATTTCCTTCCTTTGTAAAGGTAGGCAACAAACCACAGTAATATTAGCACTTTCTGTGACTTTGTCACTGGTAGCAATCACAGGTGTTTTCGCAGCACATTTCAGTTGTTGCAGATCCTCAAAATATCACAGATGCTGATCTCCACTTCAAAATGACAGTTATTACCAGTCCTGAACCTGGGGGTGAGGTGGTGGTGGTGGGGAAGTGTGTGTGTGTGTGTGTGTGTTACTGGCTTTCTAATTATTTTACTCATTTACAAATATTATTCTGAGAAGGGGTCCGCAGGCTTCTCCAGGCTGCCAGACGGGATGGAGTTATCGCCAAAAGAAATCACAGAACTTCTGGTGACCTTATCCCAGTACATGGCTGTGTAGTTACTAATTTGATGTGTCATTTTTCTTAAGGTATATGAAGGCCTCTTCCTCTCTGTTTTGCAAAACTATGAATGTAAACTACATAGTGAATAATAGTACTAAGAAAAATAAGCTGGCTTAAAAAAAAAGTGAGACTCATCTAGAGAACCCCTTAGCAATCATGGGTAATAATTACTAAACCACATTGTATATTTGTGAATAAGAATTGAACACAAGCCAGTAGCCCTTTGCTGATGAGCCCCCCGCTGGCCCTGTGCAGCCTACCCACTTGGTTCCAGCCTCCAGATAGAGCATCCCCATGGACTGTGGGGCCGTGGGGAGGATGCCCTGGGCTCCTCATGTGCTGTCTACTGGGAAGCCACTGGCCACATGTGGCTATGTAAATGTAAATCAACTAAAACGAAGTGCAGTTAGGAATTCAGATCCTTAGTCACAACAGCCTCAGTCACAATGGCCAGTAGCTCCTACGTTGGATGGTGCAGAGAGGACAGTTCCATCATCGGAGGAAGTTATGTTGGTGAGCATGGGTTTAGCCCTTCAGGTTGATCTAGGTGGCCTCCTCGGATGCTCAACAGGTGCTTTTCTGCACACCCGGTCCTGTGGGCATCTACCTGCTTAGTGCGGGGGATTGTTAGGCTCTACCTCACACACAGTGAGGAGTGGTGGGTGGTACAGGGCAGGGGTTTCCATCAGGCAGCCCATATTGTTGAGTCTCAGCTTATGACCTGGCTTATTGGGGAAATGAGACACCATCAGGGACTGGCCTTCCTCTGATCCCAGAACTCATGACCTAGCTAGAGAGAGAAGTAAGTGAACTGTTTAGGAAGCCAGCAAGCACTTGGTGTCTGCTTGGGAGGAGAGGCAAGATTCCTAGTGGAAACAAGAATCCTGCATTTCCTGGGCAGGTCATTGAAAGGTGGGTAGGCCATGCATAGTTGGCGGGGAGAGGAGCTTCCCTTATAGGAGGCCGGGGAAGTCGAGCACAGAGGCCTGGAGATGACAGTGCCCAAGACTCAGGTCATGCACATAGAGACCTTCTCTCCAGAGCAGAATCAGAGTGCCTTTTGGAAGTGGGAGTGCTTTCCTAGGAGCCAAAGTTGGAGGCCTTTGTCTAGGGTCTGTTCCAGAATCCTGGATGAGCTGAGGGGATACTGTAGACTCTGTAGACTGGGAGGACAGTAGTCTTGTATGGGCTGTGATGCCATATCTGACTGTTTGTAAGTGTGGAGGTATTTGGCAGGTAGACTCTGTAGACTGGGAGGACAGTAGTCTTGTATGGGCTGTGATGCCATATCTGACTGTAAGTGTGGAGGTATTTGGCAATTCACCCATTCCCATCATTCTGAACATACCCCTTTCCCTCCAACAAATTCTTTGTCCCTCCTGTGGCCATAGTGGCAGCTCCATAGTTTGGCCAGGGGAGCAAAGGTTTGCTTTCAGACACTTAGATGCATGTGGGTTAGGGGTTTTATGCTCAGTGTTTGATGGTGCTGCCTTGGTGATTGCTCAGCCAGGGTCTGTAACAATGGAGAATGCTGTTAACTTTGTATTGTGGGAAGTCTGTGGGCTTCTGATGCGTTGGTTTCTCTCCTTTGGCTCACCTGGCTGCATGCCTCTTTTAGAAAGAGAGCATTTGAACTGCTGCTCACTTGGCATGTGTCTTCTTGCTTTTCCCAGGACTCCTTGGCAGCGGAAATCGAGGGAACCATGCGCAAGGAGCTGAAGCTGGAAGAGCCTGAGTCTCCAGATGTCACGTATGGCCAGACAGTTTCTATCCTTCTAAGCTTCCCAGAGACTGATTTGTGGCCTGTGGTGTTCAAAACCTAGCAACATTTGGGCCTCAGACACCAGTAGTGATGACTGCTCCTTCCCAGTTCAGATTAAGGGAAATGAGAGAACATAGCTGACAACATCCCTCAGCTCCTCCTATTAGGTTTTAAAGATATTTTATGAACAGAAAGTTGGAATAGGAGACATGTGTTTCACATTTCTCTTAAAACAAGCTCCAAGTCTGCACAGCTGAGCATTTTTTATTTTTCGTTTCAGCAGAAAACTTTACTTTAAAAATTTTTAATGTCTGATAGAAAAAAAGATAGCGATACAATAAGATACAGAGGGCTCTGCAGTGGTGTTCTCTTATGGACACACGTGGGCATTGTTGGCTTCTGCCATCTCTTTTCCTGACTTTCATTGTCTTTTCTCTGTACCCAAACTCCACAGACAGAACTTAAAACAGGATCCTGGGAGTGACAAGTGTCTAGTGAGCCTCTGTATATGTGTGAAGTCCTCTGCAGCCCCAAAGGAAGTGGTCATTATAGAAACCTGCCTACCCTTTTCTTCTTAAAAGGGAGCAAATTAGCATCAAAACATGGTTCTGCTCTTAGTAATAACAGTTTCTAAAAGTAGGCAAATCTGGTATTTTATCCTCTCATTATGAAGTTTAGTACTAATTTTAAGTCTTGCTTTTTTAAAAAGTACATGGTCCACAAATATTCATTCTACAAATATTTATTGAGCCCCACTAATGTGCTCAGCAATGAAAACTGCCCTCCTGGAGCTTGCATTCTAGTGGATATTATGAAAGAAGAAAGCCAGATGGAAGACAAAAATAATCTTTTAAGTATTTTATTTGTAGGTCAAGCATTAGGGATGTGAAGAGCAGCATCACTTATGCTAGCTCTTACCATTAGGATACAACCATGCTCCAGAGTCCTGGATTCAGTGGGTGTTGAGTCTCTCCAAGTTCACATTATGAAGGAGGCAACCAATGCGCTAAGAACATGTGGAAGGCACAGGATAGCAGGCTGCTTGGGGCTCATCAAGGGCCAGGTGACTTTCTGGCTCCTCAGCTGACCAGTTTTGTAGGGTTTAGCTCCAGGATCATTCCTGCATTTGCTTACTCATGGATGTTATTGTGCATCCTCCCCAGTCACCAGAAGCGTGTCTTTGAGACCGTGAGAAACATCAACCAGGTTGTCAAACAGAGATCTCTGACCCCTTCCCCCATGAACATCCCTGGCTCCAACCAGTCTTCGGCCATGAACTCCCTCCTGTCCAGCTGTGTCAGCACCCCCCGGTCCAGCATCTATGGCAGTGACATCGGCAACGTTGTCCTCGACAACAAGACCAACAGTATCATCCTGGAAACAGAGGCAGCTGACTTGGGGTGAGTGAACTGGGAGTTTTTATTTTTCTGTTTTGGCAAGAGGAGAGGTGGTGTGGATTGAATGAAGGTTCAGTACTCATAAGAGGGAGGCTGATGAGAATTGCCTGAAAAATATAGACCTTATGTTCTCCAAATCTGTTCTACCAACCCGCTGAGCTTAACCTTATCCCTGTTACTGACATTTTAACCATTTCACAGAGGTGTAACAAGATAATACCAGAAAGTCTGCTTTTCTATAAAATACTGAAGGGGAGAATTAATGAATAATTTTTTCTGTTACTCTTCACTGTTAGGCTACAGAATAGACATTTGTTTTGTGAAACCCTTTCTAGCTTGGATGTTAGACAGACTGAGGAAGACTCAGGCTGTCTGCCTTGTGCCCAGAATCTAGTTTGCTTCAGAAGATAGGGTGCAGGGAGCCAGAGTGTCCAACGAGTGTCCATCACGTTGTTGTGGTCTGTAGGGTGGGCCTTCCTCAGCAGTGGTCAATTCCTCTTTGACCTGAAGCCCTGCGGACTCTGTCCCCCAACATTGTCCACTTTGTGCGCCCTTTCCCTCTAACTTAATAAAATGGATTCTTCTGGACCGATTGGGTGAGATGGATGGGCAACTCCTTGATCAGAGCTGGTTTTGTTCAGAGCTGAGCTCTCAGCTCCTTTAATTCAAGAGGAAAGAGAAGCATTCTGGACCGATTGGGTGAGATGGATGGGCAACTCCTTGATCAGAGCTGGTTTTGTTCAGAGTTGAGCTCTCAGCTCCTTTAATTCAAGAGGAAAGAGAAGCACGAAGCCTCCCTAGATCCAGCTGCCCTGCTGGTGGACGGGAACTCCAGCCTGGAGGTAGTTTCTTCCTAAACTGAGGGAGGTGCCCGTGAATTTTACTTAGGATGTGCAAGTTTTCATCCCATCTTAGTCCTCCTCCCCGGAAAACCCTACAGAGAGAAGTAGTTCCTCTGGGCAGGCATTTGTTTCCCCATTTTTGCCTGCATTTCAACGGTGTGCCATGGTTTCCGCAGAAAGTCCTGCAGCCCCCCGGAGTGGCTGCCCCCGTCCACTCAGCGTCAGGCCTTCCTCGTCCCGGGCGCCCCCTGCCGGACACCCCGCCCTCACCCCGCCTTCTTCTTCCAGAAACGACGCGCGGAGTAAGAAGCCGGGGACCCCGGGCACCCCCGGCTCGCACGACCTGGAGACGGCGCTGAGGCGGCTGTCCCTCCGCCGGGAGAACTACCTCTCGGAGCGGAGGTTCTTCGAGGAGGAGCAGGAGAGGAAGCTGCGCGAGCTGGCGGAGAAGGGCGAGCTGCGCAGCGGCTCCGTCACGCCCACTGAGAGCATCATGTCCCTGGGCACGCACTCCCGCTTCTCCGAGGTCACCGGCTTCTCCGGCATGTCCTTCAGCAGCCGCTCCTACCTGCCCGAGAAGCTCCAGATCGTGAAGCCGCTGGAAGGTGACCGCAGGGGGCCTCGGCCCCTCTCTGCCCTCCTCGGCGACTCCCTGTGGTCCCTGCTGCACCTCCGGAGGGCGGGGCCGCTCTGTAACGCCTACTCCTTTTTCTTCCGCGACAGCCACCCGCGCTGCTGGTTTGAGTTCCTGTGAGGGTGGCCGCCAGCCTCGGTCCCCCTCCGTGCCCGCCGGCACGCATGACAGGGGGCACGCAGGCAACCGAGCTGGGCAGAGGAAAGGAGGGGAGGCGGACGGTGGTCTTCTAGTTCTTTCTTTTGCCTTTAGAACCTTAGAAATAAAAACCATTTGTAGGGGCAGGGGCATTGCTAATAGACTCAAAAACGAATCAGGTCAGGCTGGGGGTCTGAGAAGTGTGGAGAATTAATGCTTTGGCTTCTCAGAAATTTTAGTGTCAAGGAGCAATGCCAAGCAAACACTGTTAAGTTGCGATTTTCACTAACCAGCTGAAAGCGATTTGTGGGCTCTGCGCTCTGGTTTAGTTTTTATAGAGAGGGTGTGGCTTTCTGCAGACAGCATGTTCTGAGCAGGGCTGCTACAGTCTGAAATTTGGAGGCCAAGAAGGGGTGGCTGTGGAGGCAAGTGAGTTTTGTATCTCCTTAAGCCACCCTTTTCCAGGGACAGTTCACTTTTTAGTCTTGGGGGCTCCTCAGATAGATTAAACTCATGGAAAACCTCACCTTTCTTCCTCCTTTTTATTTTGGCTTTACACCAAGTGTTTGCATTTTTCATTTTTTAGTTTGGAAATCCATTTTAGTTGGAAACCCATGTGAGTTTGAGAGGGTGTTTTAGAATTCTGTACTACATTTCTGATGCCAAGCAAAATCAGAATTTCTGTAAGGCAGCATTTCTCAACTTTCTTTTTATTATTGCCCCCTTTAAGGAGCCTTTGTAGACATCTTTTCCTATTTGTACCCCCCACCCCATAAAATTTTAATATCGCAGATATGTTGTTTATGTACTATGTATATATCTGTGCCTAAAAAGAATACAGTTATTTTCACCTCAAAAGAACCCATTTTTGCCCCCTTGGGCCAATAGTGCCCCTATTGAGAATGCATGCTGTAAGGTGAGTTTGTGCCTGCTGAAGACCCAAGACATGACTGGATCCCATATTTTCCAAAGGAAGGAAGAGGGTGGGCTCTTGTTCTGTTTTCATGATTATTTTTTAATTGTATAATTTAGGTCCTTTCTAGATTTCAGAAAAGGTATGGCTCACTCTTTTAAATTGTTTGTTCAGTTGTAAGCTTGGCAATTGTTTTCTGATCCATATTGTCTGTTTTTCTTTCAATAAAATTTTCCATTTCTGCAATTTTACTTTCTCCTTTTCTTTTTTTCCCCTCCTTTGTCTCTCAAAGATCAGTGGAATTTTCCATCTCTATCTTGTCTGCTTTTTATATTTAACTCTGTATTTCATTAGATCATCTAAGAGTATGTTTTTGGATTCATTTTCAAAGCACATTGCAGGAGGAGATTTTTAAAAATTTGTTTTGACCAATTCATCTTTATTTCTTTTAATCATGTGACTTAGAGAACAGCCTTTTTTGTGATTAGTTAATAGAATAAGAGAAAGAAAATCCCATTAGATTTGGAAGGTAAATTTCATCTACAGTACCCTGCTCCCCAGGAGGCTAAATCACTGCCATTAAAAAGTTATATCTTATTACTATGACCTGTAACACGTCCTCATGATATAGTTCCTTTTGGCTTCATTTTGTAGTTCTTTGACTTCTTAACCTGTAAATACAGTCAGTATTTCTTTCTTCCTCCCCTCTACAATTATTTTTTGTGTTACTGTGTTTAATTTGGTGAAGTGGGGTGCTGACCACAGAAGTCTGCCTGACTCCAGGTTTAGTATAGCTCTTAACTGTGACGTTGGATGTTACCCACCTTTGGAGCCTTGTTTCCCTTACTTATGAAAAAAGCTCAGAGCTGTCAAACAAGATTGTGGTGAGGAGTAAATGTGATGTTTTTGTTGTGTCTGACATCTATTAGGCGCTTATTAAAACTTAGGCTCCCTAAGTTTTTCCCATCTGGCAGCTCAGGTCTACAGGGCCAAGTTACTGGTGTTGAGACCTGGACCAGCACCGTGCTAGGGTCATGTTCTCACATCGTCCTTTTCCATTGGCCCACTGAGAAGCTGATAGGATTCCCGTGATCTCCAGCAGCCCAGGTAAATGTACCTGGGGCAAGGCCCCTGGAGAATGTTGGCTAGGATCGTAGCAGATAGCCAATCAGTGTCTTCCATCTATGTCTTCCTTACCTGTTTCTTGCCATTTGCTTATTGTGTCAGCCAAAATAGCTGAGCTAGGTGTTTAAGAATGCTGGCACTCTGTCTCTTTATCCTACTTTATGAGTTTAAAGTAGGTGAAGAACAAAACATATAAACTAGAAAGAGAGAGGTAACTGCATTAAAAAGACAGAGGCGGGCAGTATTTCTTGTCCTGTATTTTGTGCTTCCTTTCTGATTAATTATAATGTAGTATTTCCAAATAAGTTAATATGTAATTAGGGAAAAGCATGCACTTCTAAGCTGTACATTATCCAGCAGGTTTCATTCTAACTTTTTGTGTGTGTGTGTGTGTGTGACCGGTAAGGGGAATGCAACCCTTGGCTTGGTGTGTTGCCCACACCGCGCTCAGCCAGTGAGCGCACCGGCCATCCCTACATAGGATCTGAACCTGCGGCTGAGTGAGCCACGGGGTCGGCCCTCATTCTAACTTTTAAGCCCTAGATATTACTCTGACATAAATGGATTTGGTTTTCTTCTCCTTTGATGACATGAAGGAAAAGCAGACAGGGAAAGGGGCAGTGACCGTAATTACATCTCCCCCCAGTGTCCATTCCGTTATTCCATAGAACTTTATCTTGTGCCAACCAGGAACACAAAGATTTCTCTCTTTGCCCCATTGCCTAACTCCAGCCTCATTTGTATGTGGGTGGGAGGAGTGGGCATGTCTTACATTGGGTTGGTAATGGGAAGTAGCTAATAATTGTGGTTGACAAGTAAAGGAAGCCAGGCTGGGGAATGAGATGGGGAAATAGGGAATAGGAAAGAGGCAAGAGGGCTCTGAATGAGATGCCATTTATATTTACTTTTTAATTTGTATGCCCTCCTGTATCAAAAGAAGGACTTCAGGCAGCCAGGAGATCGGAAGAATTCCTACATGGTGGCTCAGGCAGTGGCAGTGGAAGGGAGGTGAGGTGATCTGCCCAGATGCTGGGCTTTGCAAACCCTCCTGGGGCCTCAGAGCAACCCAGGAGTGGAGATGGTTCATGAGCCCCACAGCATGACATAACTGAAATCAGTCAGGTTTGAGATGCTTCACTGATACTCACTTCTGCAGAATAGAAAACACCTGCACGGAGATTAGAAAAGCTAATTATTGACTTGTGTTATTGACGTGCTGTCTGAGACTCACATAGGTGAGGCCTCCTCGCTGCTGAGAGGCAGTATTTGTGGTTAAGAGAATGGACACTGGAGCTGGCCTCAGTTTCAGTCCCAGATCAGCCACTTGCCCACCATGCAACCTCTGGCAAGTTACTTTACCTCCCTGTGTTCAGTTTCCTCATCTGTATAATGGAGACAACAGGGTGATAAATATTAAATGAGTTATAGATGTAGACCTCTTCGGAGAGTGCCCGGCACTTAGTAAGTGCCCAGTTAAGATCAGCTGTTCTTATGTAAGGGATGCCAAAGATGTGGGGTAGAAATCTGAGGACAGTACATCTTTCTATATAAGCTTTCAGTTGAAATCTCACCAAGTTTCCTTGGCTGTGCGGTTTCAGGGAATGCAGATAACTTCATGCATTTCTGTAGCCTCCTTGGCTCCAAACAGCAGACGCTCTGTAGCCTCATTTCTCCCTCGAGCCCTTCCATGAGAGATGGGGGGTGGGGGGACATGGAGTGATGGGGGCAGCCTGCTGACCAGATGGAGGAGCAAGGCCTGGACCTCCAGCCTCCCTGAATTCTTTCCCAGCAGATTATGAACATCTCGAGCCCCCTCCAGGACGGTGAGGAGGTTCGGCAATTTTTTTGCCTCAGTTCTCTGCTTTCCAGAGTTTCCTGGCTTTTCCTTTCTTCCCATTCCAGAAGTAGCAGTGATGTGGTCACGCAGTACTGGGGATTTCTCATTCTCCTCCTAAGATCCCAGTGTGTAGTTTGAAGCTGGGCATGGCACTGGCTTGTTTAAGACTTCTCCCTGGTGCAGTTTTGTCGCCAGGAATGTGCCGGTGCAGCCAGCAAGCATGTGGATGGGGGCCCATTATGTAGTATGTATAAGGGTTCCCAGGGTGGCAGAGAAACCCCATCTACAGGAGTGTGTGTGTCTCCTGGAAGATGTTGAACACACCTGGAAAATTTGCTGCCAGCGTTTGTGCAGCGGGAGGCCAGCCACTGCCACTCAGCTGGGGTTCCTGGCTGGAACGCTGAGTCCTTGTTCTGAGATTTGTGGATTTTGGAGGATGGGTGGCATGAGAATACTGAAAGAACCTGGCCTTTAGTTCTGAACCCTGTCTATGCCCCCATTATTTAAGTGACTTTGGAAAGTTTTCTAACTTCAGGGCACCTCTGTTCCCTCATCTGTAAAGTATGGGTAATAATACTTAGTTTATAAAGTGGTTTTGAGGAGTGAGTTGATGTAATATATATATAAAACAAATTGCCATATAAGCATGCCTCCATGGAATAGCTTTATAAAAAAAAGATGCTGTGGCACCTGGGATACATCCCATGAATTGGTTTCAGCACGTGTGTGAGCCCTGGCCACATTTACACAGTGTTGCTTATGTGTGAACTCCCTTTGGGGTGGGTCCACAGCTTCCTTCAGATTCTCAAAAGATCTGAGAGTTCAGAACCATTGCTCTAGAGCAGGGCTTCTCAGTCTTGGCACTGTTGACATCTGGGGCTGGATCATTCTTTGGTTGTGGGGCTGTCATGGGCATTGTAGACTGTTTAGCAGTTTCCCTGGCTTCTGCCACAAGATGCCATTAGCATCCCCCTCTTCCTCCACAGTTGGGACAACCAAAAATGTCTCTAGACATTGTCAAATGTACTCTGGGGGGCAAAATTGTCCTTGTTTGAGAACCACTGCTCTGGATGTATCTTAGCACCTAGTGAGAGAACAGGAATGTAATGCTCTCTCTCATCATACACCCCTCTTTATATTGTTGCCTTTTTTTGTTTGTTTTTTGCATTTGTAGTACTTCCTGTTGTATTCAGTGGATCAAGGTTAAGTAGATTGCTGTTGTACCTGTGCACACTTAAAACTGGGGTAGACCTCAGAGCGGGTGTCTAGGAACAGTTTAAACATGTATTGGTAGTAAGTACAATTTTTTTTAAGTGGATTTGAAATTGCCCATTTATAAAATCCTCTCAAGCCTTGCTGGCTGAGATTGTTCCACGAGAAGTTATTTCCCAGTGGTGTCTGGAGGTGGTGGGCTCACTGGGCACACTGGAGGGTCCTGGACTGCTCCCTCACTTCACCATCTGCAGCCTTTTCCCTTCTCTTTTTTGTTAACTTCCTGAGCTGCTGGCTCCTGGCATCTGTGATTCCCTTTCTTTACTCCCCACGACAGCCTGGTAGCCTGGAGGGATTCTTGCCCATCCAGCAAGTACACCCTTGGTAAACTGGTGGTGACTATCTGGGCCATTTGCAGGGGAAGGCTCCTGCCTTCTGATGCCTGGGATCTTCTCTAAAAGTCTCTCTTTTGAGCATAGAATGCTTATTTGTGTGGCTGTGTGCATGTGGGTGATGACTTTATCTGAAGAATGGGTTGGAACTCCTAGCCTCAGGGGCCACACACCACCAATGTCAGCTTCAAGTAAGGTGTTAATAAGTGTTCCAAGGGGGATGAATGGTTGCTCTGTCCAGTAGCTTGGGCAGAACCCCAGGACGTTGCAGCATACTAAAGGTTCTGGGGTGCTCCTGAGTAAACACTACACTTCTTTACCCAGGTTTCTTAAGTGCACTTGGCCTTGAAACACTTTTCTTTGTAGAGTACCTATGACACCTTGAGGTCCTCCGGGACACGCTCCGGTGTTATTACAGACCTTGCACAATGTCATCTGAGTCGCGGGATCTGGTGTCACCGAGGATATCAGCTGCTCTGCTTCAGACCTCTGTGTGGACTTCCTGTGTTCTTAAATCACATCTCTTTAACCCGATTCCCTCTCCCTAACCCTGCAGCCTCTCACAGTTGTTGGTGGAATACAGAAAACCTAAGTAAAAGAGGTGGTGGTCACACCTATCACTTATCTCTAGGTGCTTCTTTAATTTCTTTTTGCTTTTTTCTTGTTATGGGTCCTGAGATTGGTTTGACATTGTTTTATTCTCCCTGAGCTTATGTCTTTCCTGTTCCCAGCAGTGTGCATTTGGCATAGAATTGGTATACATGGCCTCCCCTTTGTGCGTGTCTTCCTTTTTTTCCCTCTCCAATTTGTAAAGTCATAATATGTTGAATTTTGGTGTTACATCAGTTGATTAAAGACATTATCATCAAGCATCCTTGGCATACAGTATGGCATTAATTTTACTTTTTAAAAAAATTCATTGTTGATTCCTTAGATGGGTGCCCCTTTTGAGCACGGTAGGACATTAACTACTGGTGCATAGCACGGAGGACTAAAGCAGCTCCACCAGTGTCCCTTCCATAGTCCACCTTCGGAGGCTCAGGCCCAGTTGGGGTTCATGCTAAGCACTTGAAGGGTGGTAAACAGGCATCATCTTAGACTTCCACCCTAACCCTCTCCTCTCTCTGTACCCTATTCTCTTCCTTTTCTCCTGCAAGGTTCTGCCACTCTTCACCACTGGCAGCAGTTGGCCCAGCCTCACCTCGGGGGCATCCTGGACCCCCGGCCTGGTGTGGTCACCAAGGGCTTCCGGACACTGGACGTTGACATGGATGAAGTGTACTGCCTTAACGACTTTGAAGAAGATGACACAGGTGACCACATTTCTCTCCTGGGCCTAGCTACCTCCACACCAGTTCAGCACCCAGAGACCTCAGGTGAGAGGTCCCGAGCACGCGTGACTGTCTCAGGCAGCAGAAGTTACCAGAGCCGGCCTCAGGCTTCCCCAGAGGAGATGCAGGAGCCACCAGCGGCCACGGAGGAGGAGGAGGAGGAGGAGGGGTCTGGTGAGGGCACCACAATAAGTCCTGTACACCTGGCACCTTTCCCAGAGGCAGAGTTCTGGGCCATTCTCACCTCTGCTGCGGGCACCGTCCGTAGTGGCTCTCTGTCTGTAGCTTCCGCTCGTCTGTGTGGATGACGATTAAAGCATTCCCATTGTGCGGTTCTGTTTTTTAATATGGGGTCTGATGCCTCCTTTTTGTAACAAACGGGTGTAGTGCCCTGTCCATCTTGGAGCTACATGGCCCAGCAGTACTCTAAAAGGGGAGCAGGAAAGGCTGCTAAAAAGAAATGGATTTTTGGGCCACCCCTAACCCCTAAGAACGTTGGTGCCCTTCTTCCTATCATGGGAATCTCCTTGGGTCTGAGGGGCAGATTCCTGAGTCCCTTGGTGGTTTCCAAACTGAACTGAGCCAAGATGGGCAGTTTTAGGAAAATTATGAGTGCTGGGTCATTCAGAAGATGAATGAAAGAATCTGTTCAATGTATGCTACATTAAGATAGTAAGAAGCCCAGAAAATGTTCAGGATTTCAGGCAACACTTGATAAATCAGCCTTTTCACTTTCCTAACTTCAATGAAGGTATATATGTTGTTTTCTGTCCAGCTTACATGTGTTCAAACTGTATTTTTATGAGTGTTTTAGCAATACTTCTAAACAAACAAACCCTCAGATAGTGTCATGAAGCTCTTCCAGAGAGAGGACACTAGGCGAATCTGGAAAAGAGCTCTGGCTCACCCCCACCTCCAAGCATTAGCGGTGTGGCTGTGAGTTTGCAGAATTTCCCATTGGCAGCTGGGATGAAAAGATTTGTGCTCGGGGCCCTGGCAATCATGGGGTCCTGTGGGTACTATCCCCAGTTTTCCTGGACCACCTAGCTTGTTGTGCTCAGAAGACAAAGACCTGTATGGGATAAGGGGAGACACCCCCCAAAAGATGAATTAACCCAATGTTGTTATCTTTATGACATTCCTGAGCCACCGGATTTGAAGAGAGGACGTTCATCTTTGTGATTCATAATTTCCATTTGTGCGGGCCGTGACACTCCCCATGAAATACAAGGCAGGAAAGAGCTGAGGTTCTCGGTATCGCCCATCATCTGGCTAATTTCAGACAGCTGTGGTCAAGGGACTTTGCTTGGGACCAACTTTTCCTTTTTCTTTGACATAAACTTTAGAAGAATCATCAAGTAAAACGGATTTATTTAGCACATAGGTTTATTTGTGGTTTGTTTTTTTCTTAAAGCAGTTAATGGACTAACTTGCGAGGGAATTAAAATGTTTATTTAGTATCTACACATAAGAAAGGGAAACCAGCTGCGGTAGTGTAGCTCCGTTTGTTACTGTCTCCATTGCCCATCTGGAAGGCAAGGAGAGGCACAGAAGCAGTGTCTGGCTGATATTTGTGGCTGAAGGGTTAGGTGTCCTGTCGAGTGTGATGCTCTCTCTGTGCAGTCGGACAAGTAGATTAGTAGGTGAATCCTGGAAGTTCAAAGAAGGACAGAAGGTGAAAAGCTTATCAGTCAACAAACAGCTTCTCTTGGAGAACAGAGGGAGAGGGGACCAATTATGAGAACTCAAGTCCTGACCACTCCCTGCTATAAACAAAGACATAGTTGTTCCTTGTTTCCTTCTTACTCAGAACTGTAGCAAATTCATCCCAGCAACTTTATTTAAGGAAAGGCATGCACATTTACAGTGGAAACTGTAGAAGGGTTAGGTTGGAGGTATGCGATCATAAAAAAGTTATCTAGGTTTCTGAGGGTAATTTAGGAAAGATCTGATCATGTAGACAAGAGTTCTTTTGACCTTGTTTCCTGAGTAAGACTTATCTGTAAAAGCTCAATACAGCAGGGAAAGGTGTTAACAATTTTTTGGCTCTTTTTTCTCTGTTGGGAACGACAGAACCATTTTAATTGTTGGAATGTAAGAAGCATATTACTCTCTAAATAAATCATTCTGGAGGCCCCGGGTGGCTCTTTGTGTGTAATCCTGGAGTCACAGGCAGACAGGTAAGCTTCAAGAGGAAGGCACGGGGCATCCTCTGTCATGGGATTTGTATCCAGGTGTAAATCATTCTGGAGGCCCCGGGTGGCTCTTTGTGTGTAATCCTGGAGTCACAGGCAGACAGATAAGCTTCAAGAGGAAGGCACGGGGCATCCTCTGTCATGGGATTTGTATCCAGGTAGTCTGGTCCCTGCCTTGGGGCCTCCAGGCCTCCTGTCATTGGGGCCTAAGTCAGTGTGGAAGGCAGAAGTCACACTTGGTCAAAACTGTCCTTGAAAAATCCCCTAAATCTCCAGCTTCTGGGCCACTGGAGGCAAAAGCCAAGCAGTAGCTTCTTTTGGTACTTTCTTGTTTGATACATAGGTTCAGGAGTGGTTACCAGGTGAGGGAAGGGAGGGAACAGCTCGTGGTGGAAAGGAGACTGACAGAAAGTTAGGGAGCCAAGTGTTCCTTCAGCCCGTCTCAGGGGCAGGGGCCAGTTGCAGCACAGCTGCACCAGCCTGGATCCTCTCTTGCTTTCAGTCCCACTGCATACCACAGAAGCAGGGTCCAGATAGGCTTGGGAGGGGAAGTTCACCTGGGGGCCTGATGGATCTGGAAGGAAAAGTCTAGTACACCTGGTTCACAGACCTGTGGGCATGAGTTCCTTCCTGTTGTCTCCGCTGCAAGAGTTGACGAGTTCCTACTCTGATGGCAACAGTTTTCGAACCAGCCCTGGTTCTGTGGCAGTTACAGAGGAGTTTGGTCATTATGGACAGAGCAGATGGTCTGCTTATGCCCACTGTATTAGGAGATGCTACGGAAGCCTTTGTGGTCTCGCATCAGAATACGTGTTAAAACAGAGCAAAACAGGCTAACTGCAACCCAGTAGTGGAAAAATGGACAAAGAATGAGAGAACTGATTCCTTCAAAACAAACAGCATAGAGTCAACCCTGCTTAAAATTTCCAAAGCGAGGCCTGCTTGTTGAGAGTGGTTTCTTTGGGGCATCCTCATGTCTGAGCACCACAAGATGTTCCTCCATTGCTCCTGGAGGCACCCATGTGGGCTGCTGAGGAGTGGCTTCTGCACTTGGCACTTCTCATGCAGAGGGCCCTTCAGGGAGCACATGGGTGAGCTGTGTAGCTGTGCTGCCTGGTGAAGCATGGGACAGACCCTCTGCTGAACTGGCTTTGAAAGCACCAGCAGGGAAATGTGTTGATGCAGCTCAGCCAAGCCAGCACCCTGTACCTGTTAGTGTCTGCCACAGAAGGGAGGACAGAGGGCACGGGGTCCAGCTTTATTGGCATCCGAAGGATGCAAAGAGATTTTTTGCATCTGCCCTTCTGACATTTTAACAGCATTCTAAAAATCCCTTTTTCTCTAGAAGATACCCCAGGGGCACTGGAGAGAATTTCTGGCCCTCTCTGCCCAATGCTGTGAAATTGTTCATCTCTTAAGTCACATACTTTTTAGATGCAAACAGTAGACAGCTTGGTGTAGTGGGAAGAGTAAACTTTTACTTTTGCAGAAACCAGAAAAAGATTGTGTGATGTGGTTCAAAATCTCTGTGATAGACACCTCCCCCAGTGCCTGCTGGCCAGGTTCTGATCATGGAGAGGGGCGGGGGTCTCTACGGAGCTGCAGGACCAGATGAGAGCTGTGTTGAAGAAATGCTTAAGCAGAGAAAAATAATTACCAGGCCTATGCGAATCCTGGAACAAAGGGCTTAGAAAATGTTGTCTTGTATTCGTATAATACTTTATGGTTTAAAATCACTTTATTAAAAAAGAAACAACTGCACTATGGACTGCTTCTGAAACTACTCTTGATTCCTCGCCCCTTACCCCCAGAGAACACTTGTTAAAACCACATTAATCCCTAACACAGTATTTGTATTAATAATGAATTGTGAAGCAGACAGGTTATATGAAACTTTTCCCACATGAACTCAATATTTTTTCCCCCAGAAAATTTCACGGGCAGTTATACAATGAAGTGACAGAAAAGTCTTTAAAGCATTTTTCTATCCCCTGATATTTTGTTCTTTTAGGAAGAATTCTAAAGCATTGCTTCCCTCCCCTCCCTTTTTTTAAAAATGTAAAGAGAGCTATTTCTCATGTAGCTGACAGGCAAAGAAACATTCCCCCCGCCGCCACCAAGGGAATAAAGCCATCAGAAGCTGGGCATTTAAAAAAAAAACAAAACAAAAAAACCCCTGATGTTCTTAGGGCTTAGTTCTACCCAAGCCTTTAAGCTGGGTAGACAATGGCTTTTATTTTCAAGAGACTTGTTTTTGTTTGGATAGGAAAGATGCCGCTGTTGATGTGGTGACAGCTACTGGAATTATGGGGGTGGGGGGACGGTTTGTGTGTATGTGTGTGTGAGTTGGTTAATGAGTTTACAGATCTTGCAAAGCAGATCCAAATCACGCGACAGCAGCTTCACACTACATGTTCAAGTTAAGAAAAGGGAAAACAAGGTCAGGGGCATTTGGTTTATTTCATACAAGTTGGCCACATCCCAGAAAACTGGGGAAAAGGATATGGAAGGCCCTCAGTGCACTGCAAAGACAGGGTCCCTTTTCCAAGATGTTGAGATACATTTGTAAAATTTTTTAGACATTTTCAGAGGTTATTTGTGTGAGTTAAAGACAGCTTGGGTGCATGGCATAGCCAGTGTTTTCCGGCCTCAAAGGTTTCCTTTGAAGCAGCTGTGTGTGTGCGTGTGTGTGCTGCGTCTCCGCATGGAAACACACCCAGTGCAGTTGCACCCTGACGTCTCTGTGTGGGCTCACGCAGAGGTTCTTTTAAGGACTACGTTCTATGATGGCTTGTACATAGAGAAAAGCTTCTGTTCTCCCCAGCACAATACCAGATTGCCCTTCCCTGTGGATGGGGGAGGGAAAGCACCATGAGGATTGAACAAAATGCATGAGCTGGGATGTACAAGCCTTATTATGTGGGCAGCCAGACAGAGTCCCGACTACCCTTTGAGTCCCTGCAGAACTTCTGGGCCCCAGCAGAGTGCCCCAGCCTTGTCTGTGCTCGTTCCTCTTCTCATGATTAAGGTTTGGGCTGTGGGGGAAGCAGTGGCTGTCTCCCCTGGAAGGCATGAGCTTCACGGAGCAGCAGCCACCCCAGTCTGTATAGCACACTTGCGGATAGCAGTCTGCAGGGGAATCCAGAGAGGAGGCCCTGACTGTTGGAGACTAGGGGCTGTGTCATGGTACCCCATCACTGGCTGCAGCAGCAGGATTCCAAGTACCCAGTTTCCTGGTCAGTACCAGGCATCACAGGTCCCAGAGGAGCATGGGTGGTCAGCGCCACTTACCAAGGGTGCCTACTAAGGCACAAGGTGCAACAGGATCCAATCAGATCATGTGAACTGGGTGACCTACCCTGCATGCTAGCCACCAACTAAGAAGATTGTAAGATTTTGAATAATTAAGGCTTAATTGAGTTTAAAGCTTATAAATTTTGTACCAGTGCCAGAACCTGGGGAGGAAAAACAATTAAAAATAATAAAGTCTTAGGGTTTTTATTGGTAAATGCAAAGTCATTCCTAAATAAAATGATGAAGCACTTGTCTGTGTTAATTCTCTAACTTGCTTAATATCTGCCCATCTCCTCATAACACTCTGAAGCCCCAGTCAGGTTGAGAGAAAGAATAAGGGTTTAAGTAGGAGTTGGAGCATTCAACCCAAGAAACCCTGTCCTTGAGCTCCCGAAGTGAGCAGCATGAGATGAACGTGATCAGTTTCTGCAAAGAACTCGCGGTTTAGATAAATCAGGGGCTTCAGTGTGTGGTGTGGTCTTGGGGAACATCAGTGGCAAACCCTCACCCCAAGCTCCTTACTTCCTGCCAAGAATAATATTTTATATGCCCCCCCACCCCCCTTTTTCTTAGAACTTGCCCCTTTCTGCATGTGGGGTTTAGGAATCAGCCTGTTGATTATCTGTGGCAAGTACAAGCAGCCTTGGGCGACTCATTGTCTTTATGTTGTGTCCCAAGGAAGGGAGGTGCAGCAGCAGCCCAGCAGGCAGTGGTGACATGCGGAGTGCTCGCGGGTCCAGGCGTCCGGTGGTATTTTGGAGGGGCCGAATCCCTGGCTTTGTCCCTTTTGACACTTGTTGATCTTGGTCTTCTAAAGCTGTCCATTTCTTCTGGGGAATGGTGACTTCGGAATTTTTAGCAGCCTTTTCCTATCCCCAAAACCCATTTTTATAAGATGGGTTTTGCTTCTGCTGATGCAACTATGTCTGTCTATACTTACACTTCCTGTTGCAATTGAAGATCTAATGTGTAATGGGGTGGACGAGGAAGAGAACATTCCTGACCTTTTGATTTGATATTCTGGCCATGTGTTTTAAATGGGGTATGCTTCTGATTTTAAATCCAGTCTTGTTTGATTTTTTTTTTAAAATGGTATCTCTCTTTCTACTGTTTTGTCTTAATTATTTTTATTTACTGCTTCTCCCTCCTGCCCCCCTCCCCTCCACCTCCCACCCCCCCAAAACCCCTCATGCTTCTTATTTGGGATGCTTTTCTCAGGCATTTTGTTGCTTTTGTTTCTAGACCTTATTGGAGTAAGAGAATCGTGATTGTTTGGTTGCCTTCTCTTCATAGCTTATTACATTTTTGTTTCTCTTGCAGCAATTTCTCAGTTATCTGAGTTCCTAAACCATTGCTTTTATTGGTTGAGAAACAAAGATTCATAAAGGCTATTTTTGTTTTTTTCTCCCTCCTGCTTTGCCTGGAGCTCCCTCTGGTGGCCGTGGAGCTGGCTGCATGCCGGGTGCCATGGGAGCCTCCTTTGACGCAGAGCCTGGTCAGACTGTAGAGATCAGGGCAAACCAGTCTTGCCTTGCTTCTCTAGTCACTGTCACCGTTTTTGTGCTCTGGTTTTGTCCTGCTACCTTCAGTTTGTATGTCTCCAGCATTGTTTGTTTGTTTGTTTCATTGGTTCCTTGTTTTCTTTTAAGACACAATCAACTGTGTGTGGATCTATAGGTTTGGGCCACCAATCTGTTCTGTTTTGTCCCTTTTCTTTTTTGTCAAATCCAAGAGAAAACTTAACATAGGAGCTAGAAAATTCTGGTTCATAGCCTTTCGAATCTTCCTGGCCTTTGCATCCTCATGGCCTCTGATATCCCAGTTTTCTCCCCGGAGGTCTCTGGAGGCTGAGCTGCTGCAGGAGTCGGGGGAGGGATGGGGTGGGGTGGGGTGGGAGAATCATCCCCGTACTTCATTGTGCATGCTATTTGGTGCAGCATCTTTTTTTATTTTTTTATTTTTTTCACTCATGCTTGAGTTATGAATGAGGATGACCTCTACAATCATGATATCTCCCATAGACTCTATTACTTTTTCCTTTGCCAGCTTTTCTGATGCATGGTCCTAACACTTCTGTGGTTTACTTTGATCCAGACTGTAGTCTTCAGCTGCCTTAACAGTTAACTCATTAGAACATTAGAAGGAAATAAATTGAGGACAACTTGTTGCCATTTCATTTTCATTAGAAATCAAACATCATAGAGATGGCACAGAAATAGCTGGGGAGTAGGAAGGGGGACCCTGTGCTGATTGCAACACTGTATGTCAGACCAGACTTGTTCCTGGAGCACCCCATCTCTGGAACTCTTGCCATGTTGTTGAGGCAGCTGAGATCTCTGTCTCCCACTCTGATGATCACAGATAGACAGTAGTGGAACCAGCTTCCTTAAGCCCCTTTTTGTGCGAACAGAAAAGGGAGCCACGTGAGCCTCGCCCTGTTTCCAGGTGCCAAGTGCCTCTCCCTGCCCGCACCTCTCCCCTTCCCCTGGGCAGAATTTTGGCACCTGTTTGCCAATGAAAAGAAATGTAAAGCAACAAAAGAAGAAAGCAGATCTTGACTTCCGAGGAGGGAAACCAAATTTACCCACAAAGGCCCATTAGACCCCTCTGAACTGGATCCACTACTGGCCCAAGAATACTGATGAGAAACCCTGTCTGGGTTGGGCCGGAAGCTGGAATTCGATGCTCTGCAGACCAGTGCTCCAAACTGTGGTTATTTTTGAGGGACCACCTCCAATCCAGAACATTTGTGTTTCACCTTCCTCGCCCAGATCCAGTTAACAAGGTAGCTCATCACTTCTTGCATCTGTAGAGGGACATACTGAATTTTTATTTTCATCGTGATTATACTTGGATGCAAGGAATATGTTTTGTTCCCCCCTCAATTTAGCGCACCACCCTGGAAAGTGCATGTCACAGACCAACTCCACCTTCACCTTCACCACCTGTCGCATCCTGCATCCTTCAGACGAGCTCACGCGGGTCACACCAAGGTAAGGGAGTCTGGCCCTGGTGGGGGGATGGACAGTGGGGGAGGTGGTAGGGGAGGTCAGAGGACTTCCTTCCCTGCAATACTTAATGTTGAGGAAAGCCAAGTAGAGAGCCTCATTCATAAACCAACTTTAGCCAGCTTAAGCATCTCAGAAGCGTCTGCAGGCATCTGTTCTGAGTTCCATCTTTCCTTTTGAATTGAGGCCCCTGTTGATTGAGATCCAGCTCAGAGAGATCTGGACCCACCTTTAGTTACCTTTTAGTTGCTATGGAATGCATTCGTAGGCCCCTCAACCAATTGAAGCTGACACCACACGCACTATGGCTAAGTCTGTTGGATTTTTGTCCCAAAGCTTGCCAAGATGGCATGGAGTTCTTTCATGGGTGAAATTACTTTGGAAGCCCTTGCTCCTCTGGAATGGGCTCTGGGTACCATGCACCCACAGCCAAACTATAATGACCAAATGAGAAGACTCCAAGACAGAGCCATGTGCCGAGTGCGGTCTGTTTCCCTCTGTGCACCACCTGGCAAGAGGACATGCATGGCGTGGGCTGTCTGGTTTGGTTTCGGGCCTCCACAGCTTCCAGTGAAAGGGAAAACGGTCTCCCCACCATAGCAGAGTGAGTCCCTCCGCCATTTCCTCTATGGCGCAGTCAAGCAAGATGCTGGGCTTATTGGAAAGCAAAGCAGAAGGGGAGGGAGGTGAGAAGGGCCAGCTCGGAGGGAGCAGCCACCCCAAGGAGCGCCTTAAACTATGAATAATTCTCCGCAGGTCATGTGAGGAGGACACCGAAGCAGCCATATGCCCCGTTGAGCTGAGAGGAGATGTAGGGCAGAGAGTCTGAGCCCACGGGCAAGGCAGGGGGTGAGCACATGCCAGCAGGGCCTGCCCTGGCAGGGTCACGTGGAAGGAGCTGCGTGTGCACGCATGGCCGCCACTAACCTGGGGACATAGGCATGGGTGTGTCTCTGTGGTTGTGCCTGGCTAACACGGCCTTGACAGTTGCTACCCCTAACCCGTCTAAATGCCCCCAGTCAAGCCGAGTGCCAGCACTAATGAAGGCCTAACTGGAAGTTCTCACCAGACAAAGGTCTCTCCATTTTAGCTTTGTCTTCTCCATCTCCCTTCCTGCCCTGGAGAACCTGGCTTCCCAACATCCTGTGGCTTTATATTTGGAAGAGATTGTTTTCAAAACCATGGGACAGAGTCTCCTCTTATGAGAGGCTGGTGCCCGGGTAACTCACGCTCTTCTGACTGTGGCCATAGGACTCAAACCACACGAGTCTTCATCTGCAAGTCCATACGGCTTTGTTGGGGATGAAAAAAGCCTGGGAAGTCCAGTAGCAAGAGAAGGCTTTTTTGCCTGAGTTTGAAAGAAAGGCAGCTTGAAACAGAATTGAAAATCTTTCTCAGAATGGCCATGTGAGCAAGATCTTAAGTCCAGAACTCTTTTGCCCTCTGTGGCTGTACATCAACATTTGTGAAATTTCACCTGAGCCTTTTTTTTTTTTTTTCCTTTTTTGTCTTTTTTCGTGACCGGTAACGGGATCGCAACCCTCGGTGTTGCGCCTGCACCTCGCTCAGCCAGTGAGCGGGAACCGGTCTCCACATGGGATCCGAACCCTCGGTGGGAGCGCTGCCACGCTCTCAGGCGGCATCAGCCAGTGAGCGGGAACTGGTCTCCACATGGGATCCGAACCCTCGGTGGGAGCGCTGCCACGCTCTCAGGCGGCACACTCTCCAGTGTGCCACTGGGCTGGCCCTCACCTGAGCCTTTTAAAAAATCCACAATTTTAACCTAGGAATCTGCTATAGTCTCTTGTCTCATGCTTCTCTGAGTACTCCCAACCTACTAGCATCCCCACTCCTAAGCTTGTGTGATACTGGCTTTTTCTGTGGCCCCCACCTTGTACTGAATGGTCACCTGGATGTGGAGCCAAATGTTTGCCTCCAGCTTGTACCCCAGGAGAGACCCCTTCACTAGTTATTCCAAGGACCTGCTCCAGGATGGGTCCTCTTCTTTCCTTTTCCCCCAGTGGTGCTTTGCCCAAGGTATCTGGGCCTTCTGCTAGACTGGGGAGAGAGGTCTCCATCCCCTAGCTCCCAGGGACCACCCAGCCGACCTGCTCCAAGGGACTCTGGCAGCCACAGCCAAATCCCTGCGTGGGCACCAGGGTAGGTCCCGTGAGACTGTCGAGAGGGATGTGCTTTTTTGCCCCTTGGTTGCTCATTCAGAAGCTGTGCAGGGCTTCTGAGCCTGTTTCTTACCCTGTCCCTGTATCAGCTGTTAAAAGAGAGTCTTCCCTGGTTATTTAAGCAGACAGCAACATGTTTCCCTTTGCTGCCCCTCTGGTAAACTTTTCTGTTCTCCACTGTTGGATCCCGGCTGCTGGAACCTAGTAGGTCCCCAGCATGACACGAGTGAAGGAACAAATCTTTCTGCTTTCCTTTAGTAACACTCAGTGGGTCTTTTTCCAAGTAGTAGGATGTAGTTCTGCTCATACATGACACGGCTTGCTCTGACCCCATAATGCCACTCATCAAAATGGAGCACATGAAGGGGATTGGGGGCCAGTTCAGAGCAGAGGAAAGAGCACTTTACCAGGAGACAGGAGGCCAGGGCTGCCACTGGCTTGATGGGCATTGTCTGGCCTTGTCCCACCCACTTTGGCTGTTATACCATTCCTAAAATAAGCTCTCTCATCCCATAGACCTGGTTAATGTCTTGCCTCAGGGAGAAGTAGGTGTTAGGAAGGAAGGCTGGAATTTGAGTAAATCTGGTAGGAAAAGAAACCTCTTTGCTGAAGGGCACCCTTCCATATCCTCTGACAACCTTGGGGTTACTCAGACTTGGGTTTGAATCTGGGATTATTCACTGCATAACTGGGTGTGACATTGAGTATACCACTTAACCTCTGAGCCTGCGTCTTCATCCATAAAGGGGATGGTTATACTCACCCCCCAGGGACAAGCAAAGGGGATCGTGTGCAGCTTCCAGTTAATTTAAACCGTGGCCCCATTTAAGGGGATCCAAGGACTCCTTGGGCAAGAGGGAGGAGCAGACACGGACAGAGGTGTCTGTGGGGCCTCGGCCAGGGAGTCCTCTCCTGTTGTCCCAGGACCACCCTGCACCACCTGCAGGAGACTGGCCACTGACCCATTCTGTGCCACAAACACCACAAGTATTTCTGATGAATAACGTGTCATCTTTTCCCTTCAGCCTTAACTCAGCCCCAACTCCAGCTTGTGGCAGCGCCAGCCACTTGAAATCCACGCCAGTGGCCACACCATGCACTCCACGGAGGCTGAGCCTGGCTGAATCCTTCACTAACACCCGTGAGTCCACAACCACAATGAGCACATCCCTCGGGCTGGTGTGGCTGCTGAAGGAGCGGGGCATTTCCGCAGCCGTGTATGACCCCCAGAGCTGGGACAGAGCTGGCCGGGGCTCCCTCCTGTACTCCTACACCCCCAAGATGGCTGTGATCCCCTCCACCCCGCCGAACTCACCTATGCAGACGCCCACGTCCTCCCCGCCCTCCTTTGAGTTCAAGTGCACGAGCCCTCCCTACGACAACTTCTTGGCTTCCAAGCCAGCCAGCTCCATCCTGAGGGAGGTGAGGGAAAAGAAGAACGTCCAGAGCAGTGAGAGCCAGACAGATGTGTCCGTCTCCAACCTCAACCTCGTGGACAAAGTCAGGAGGTTTGGGGTGGCCAAAGTGGTGAACTCAGGGCGAGCCCATGTCCCCACCTTGACTGAGGATCAGGGACCTCTCTGTGGGCCCCCAGGACCAGCACAGGCTCTTGTCCCTAGAGGCCTGGTACCCGAGGGCTTGCCTCTCGGATGCCCCACTGTCACCAGTGCCATCAGCGGGCTGCAGCTCAACAGTGGCATCCGACGGAATCGGAGCTTCCCCACTATGGTGGGATCCAGCATGCAGATGAAAGCTCCCGTGACTCTAACCTCAGGCATCTTGATGGGTGCTAAGCTCCCCAAACAAACCAGCTTACGGTGAGGACGGGAGGGGGCCCATTGCCCTGGAGGAGACCAACATGCTCCGTGTCGCTCCCCGCCTCCCTCTCCCCCTGCAGCGTGCTCGCTTCCCCTTCCCTTCTCTGCCCCGCTCCTGAGCATCAGCCTCGTGCCTAATGGGGGAAGAGTGGAAACTTTGTAAAATGTGTACATAGGACTCGGAGACCTTGTATCTGCCCTGTCCCCTCTTTGGACCCCACAGGGAGTGCCCCGCCCTGTCACCACTCTCCCGAAGACCTCACCTGTGCTGAGCTGGGGGAAGGTGTGTCCTCCTCCTCTTTCCTTTTGAGAAGCACTGAAACTCCCAAGTGTGTTCCTATCCCATGGATAGGGAACCAGTGAATTCCGTGGCTGATTGCCTGTGTGCACACCGTGAGCTGTCACATGGCATGGGTCGTAACACCTTGCCCACCCTGTAGCAGTGTGAGGAGCCTCCGTCCTCGGCCACACGCGGCTGACGTAGCTTTCATGGTCGGGAGCTTCTCTTCCTTTGATGGGTGGCCTGGCTTCTTCAGACCTTCACTACTCTGCCTCCGTGGATGGTTATTTCTTTTTTGAGGTGTGACTTTTGCTTTTCATACCTTTAACTTGAAGTCATCCCTTGTTTTGTAATCAGCTGTCAGGCCAAACGTCTGACCAGAAGAGAATGTATTCACTCCCGCTGCATTGTCCAGCAGCCCCTCTGTGTTCTGTGTGACTTGTTTTATTTTTCCATTTTTTTATATGCAGGGAAGTAATGGTACTGGCAGTGTATGTTCTGTACGTGGTTCTATAACACCAAAATACAAACTTCAAACACACCAAACTGCTAATGAGATAGCAGCTTATTTCTGGGACCTGGTGTCACAACCCAATTGATTTAAGACCAGACCCAAGACAACTTTAATGATAGGATTAAAATGAAAGGGGATAAGGAGAAAACTTATTAAAGAACTTTGTCAACAGTCAAAGTAAAGGGTAAGAACCACAACCAAGAGTAGTACCAACTGGTTCGAGGGAGAAAGGAACAAGGCTTTGGCATCTTGCTGGTTCCAGTCCTTACTCTGAGACGTAAGACGGGTCAGTGTGCTTTCATGTGTGCAGTCTTCTATTGCAGCCATTCGGTGCCCACACATTTTACCCTCTTGTTTCAGAACAGGGGATGGTCACAACAAGATATTTTCTGCCCCCCAAAGCCCTTTGTCTCCTTGTGGCACTGATTATCATTAGGAAAAGATAGAGGTGCTCATGAAAAGAACCATGAATGAAAAAGGGAGCATGGTCCTGTTGTCGCTGATTAAGTTTTAAACTTCTTTTTTTTTTTTTTTTTAAGATGACCGGTAAGGGGATCTCAACCCTTGACTTGGTGTTGTCAGCACCACGCTCAGCCAGTGAGCGAACCGGCCATCCCTATATGGGATCCGAACCCGGGGTCTTGGTGTTATCAGCACCGCACTCTCCCGAGTGAGCCACGGGCCGGCCCCAAGTTTTAAACTTCTATTTATTATTTATGTGTGCTGTATTTTAAACGTAATCCTCTCTGCTTCCAACTCCAGTCATAGTGTGTCTGTGGCATCCCAATCTAAGCAGATAATTTATTCTAATCTGTGGACTGCACTGTACATCACGGGGTTCAGTGACCACTTGATGCAGACATTTATGGGAGGGTAACATCCCATGTAAATGAAATCGTCATGTTGTGCCCTCTCCCCCAGCAAGAGACGTATCCTTCAGTTGACTGAAGGTAACCTTATGTCCACTGAGGACACTTGGAGAAAGTCCCCAAGGAGCAAGCTCAATCCCACAATTTCAGACTGTTTATTCTCTGAACACGAGAGTGTTGGTTAGTTATGTTCTCAGCTCTCCTTGCTGGTGTATGTGTGCACTCACTGCAAGTAACTTATATCTTATTTGAATGTATTTTAAAACAGTAGGTAGAATAACAAAGGAATATGAAAACCATGGACTGAGTGGACCACTCTATGTATTCAGAGAGAGCAACCACCCATCATCACCAGAAATACCAGAGTAAAAATCAGCAATTTGGAGGTTGCGGTGTTTAGTGTAGTAAATAAATAAATGATCAACGTCATGCAACCACTACCAAAAAGTGTGTTGTAATGCATCAAAAATCAGTAATAAAATTTTATTTGCTAATAAATATCAATAAAAGAAGTCCAAATGATGGAAACCACAGTGGAGTTCCGCTTTGTGTTTTGTTTTTATCTTTTCATCGAGGAGATGATCTCTTTATGTAAGACTTGAAGGCATTCACCTCTTTGGGGAAGTTAAATGAAAGACATATACTTTACGACGGTTATATCCCCCCTTCTTTTCAACCTGAATGCCATACCTTAGACAACTTTCCACTCAGAACCTAAACATCTCCCTCCCTCTTCAGGGCTGCATACTGGTGCACTGTGTGCACACACCCACTGCGAACACACACATACTCCTGGGAACCAGACCCTGTGGATGGTCGTGAGTTTATTCTCATCTTTTGCTGTCACAGAGCTGGGATGAAAAAGTCTTGCATGTATGCAACTTCCTGCATATGTGAGCACATCTGTGGGATAAATTCCTAGATGTGGCCAAATTGCCTTCCATGGGGTTGTATGAAGAGACTTAAAAATCAAGGACAGTGAAGTCCCACCAGATGGGAAATTGTGACATGAACAAAAGGATGAATAAAACTTATTCTTCCACATCAGTATTTGAAAGCAGGGAAATCATGCAAGCAAATGCTGTAGTGGGATATGGGACTGGGAGTTTAAATGAGGTGCTACCATTTGGTAGTGGTGCGACTTTGGGCAAGCCACTTATCCTCTTTGGGTCCTCCATTTTTTTTTTTTGTCTTTTTTACTGACCGGTAACAGGATCGCAACCCTCGGTGTCGCGCCCGTACTGGGGACCGGCAACAGGATCGCAACCCTCGGTGTTGCGCCCGCACTGCGCTCAACCAGTGAGCGGGAACCGGTCTCCACATGGGATCCGAACCCTCGGCGGGAGCGCCTCCGTGCTCCCAAGCAGCGCACTCTCCAGTGCGCCACCGGGCCGGCCCATGGGTCCTCCATTTTTTTAACCTGTGAGGTGATAACAGTAATACACCTTAGTGTTAATTAGTTGAGTAAACATTTTGAGTACCTGCCCTGTGCGAGGCATTGTTGTAGGTGCTGGGAGGACAGGGATGAACAGGTGAGCCAGCTTCTGCTCTCACAGAGCATACAATCTATGGGAGGAGAATGATGACACCAAATGTAGAATAACTCGGGTTGTGCAGAGAATTAAAACAGGGTGGTGGGAAGGAGTGGCTGGCTACTTGGGATTGGGCAGTCAGGAAGACCTCTCCTGGGAGGGGGGTATTTGAGTCAACCATGTAAGATCTGGCACAAGAGCATTTGGACAGAGTGCAGCTGGTGCAAAGGCCCAGAGACAGGAAAGCATCTGGTGTGTTTGAGGAACAGAGAGAAGGCCCAAGGTGGGGAAACCATGGGCTCAACAAATGGTCCATCTGATCCCACGTTTCCCAGCCACTGCAGTTGGGCAGGTCACGTGATTAGTTCTGGCCAGGAGGCTGTGAGTGGAGGAAAATCCATGGGAGATTCTCCATGTTCCTCTCTTCCTGAAGCCACATTTTGAAATGGTGGTCTCCATCATCCCTGCCAACCTGTATTTGACATGTAATCTGAAGAAGTAAATCTTAGTTGTTAAGCCAGTAAGCTTTTTTCACAGTGCATCAGAATCCCAGGGGGTGGAGCCCAGGTGTCTGTGTTTTAACAAGCCCCTCTACGTAATTCTGGTGTGCACTCAAGTTTGAGAACCACTTGGGACCCCCCAGATGGGGTCTGGGTGGGAATTCTGCCATGGGAGGCATATTTCCTAGCAGGGACAGGGAAGGCTTCGAGGCAAGGTGACCCTGGATATGGCCTTCAAGATGGGCAGGATTTGCCAAGTGGGGATGGCATTCCAAGCAGAGGGTAAAGGTTTGTAGGAGGGATGTAAAAAGGGTCCTAGAATGCATTTCTCTAAGCTCTTACAGTAGAATGGTAAGTGACAAATATAGAAAGGACAATAGAATTAGAAAAACCATTTTGCAGCCTTAACGCTAATAACTGATTCAGACAACAAGGTATGCCAATACCATTGGGTAAGACTTTGTTAGGTAGCAGGATTTTCATTCACACTAAATCTTCCCACAGAATGCTCATTAACTTACAGAGGGGGTGTCTTAATCCATTTTGTGCTTCTATAATAATACCACAGACTGGGTAGTTTGTAAAGAACAAATTTATTTCTCACAGTCTGGAGGCTGGGAAGTCCAAGATCAAGGTGTCCACAGGTTCGGTTGTCTGGTGAGGGCTGCATCCTCTGGAAGGGAGGAATGCTGTGTCCTCACATGGCAGAAGGCAGAGAGCAAGAGACTGAATGCTTCATGAAGGCTCTTATAAGGGTCTTAATCCCGTTTGCAAGGGAGGAGCCCTCATGACCTAATCACCTCTTAAAGGTGCCACCTCTTAATATTATCACATTGGTAACACCTGAATTTTAGAAGGGACACATTATAACGATAGCAGGGGAAAAGGTATCTTTGCAGTGGAGAAACTTGTTGTACATCACTTGAAACAGGTCATGAGATTTAATGTTACCCCAAATGGGACAAACCGAGACCTTCTGATATGTGATATACTAGGAAAGAAACACGCCCCTTGCTGTTCCTGCCACAATTGCAAAACCTGAATCATGAGGTTGACACATTGAGGAATGTTTTATAAAACAATGTACCTAAAAAATTTAATGAAAAAAAGAAAAATAAATTAAACCCCCCCCCCCCAAAAAAAAAACAATGTACCTATCCCCTTTAAAAATGTCATTGTCATGAAAGAAAGACTGAGGACCCATTCCAAAGTAAAGGAAGATAAAGAGACAACGAATGCAATCCACGATCTGAATTGTATCCCGGACTGGAAAAGATGCTATAAAGGAAAATGTTGGGACAATCAGAGAAATTTGAATATAGAGCATATATTTTAAAAGTATTGTATCAACGTGAAATTTCCTGAATTCAATCATTATTCTGTGGATATTCAAAAGCATGTCCTATTTCCTAGGAGATACATGCTAAAAGGTCAAGATAAAGGGGCTTGACATCTGCAAGTAACTTTCAAATATTTTTGAGAAAAGCAAAGAATAAGTTTTTTTTTTAAAAAAAAGAAAGATCCAGAAAAAAGGATTCATCT